TATCTATCTATCTATCTATCTATCTATCTATCTAAACTGAAGCTGAGGGTGTGTGTAGACACACACACACACACACACACACACACACACACACACACACACAAACAAACAAACAAACAATCTGGTCTAGTTCAACATGTAAAATAAATAAGTAATCTAATTCTTTGTTTTATTTTCTTGCAGATAAAAACACAGATGCGTACAACTCTTCCACCTTAACGGTAAGACGACTTTTCTTTACTGTCTCGTGAATCCACATTTTAAACATACATTGTTTAATATAAACTCATTAATCTTGAAAAAAGTTTTATTTTCAGTCGCAGTGGACAATAACTGCCAATTATTGTAAAAAAAACTTTGTTGAACAGATCGAGTTTTAACCAAAAATCTGTATATTTGTTTATAATTCAGTGCTAAAGGAAGAGCAGATTTTTAGTTTAGATGCACAAATGTGAAAAGATGAGAGGAAAACCTTCATAAACATGAAGTCAAATGTTTGTTTTAAAAAAAATTTCAGATCTGTTACAGTAAAATATTAGTTTCCTTTGCTGTACTGACTTGATTGCAGGAGGTTTAGAAGTTAAAGACTTTCTTTTCACTGTCACCTGGCTTTAAAGCGAAGGTGAGCGTCAGCAGGAGAAGGAGGAGGTACTCTTTGAGATTCAGTCCTCTCTCCTCCTCTCTGCAAGGTGAATCAGCATCTTTTCCTCCTGTCCCCGTTTCCCTGAGTCTGCAGCTTGGCTGCTGGCCGAGCCTCAGAATATCACAGAGAGATAGAAGCTCCAGAATCCCGAGCCGACCGGAGCGTCCTGCCTCCAGCAGGGACGAGCAGATAGAGAGGGAGACGTTTAAAAACAGGCGGAGGAATGTCTGCCTGATGAGATTATGAAGCAGCTGAGGAAGTAACGACAGGAAGCAGCCATGGGTCTGGTGTCCATCATCACTCATGTAACGTCACTCAGACTCCGCCCTATCTTCCTCTGTGACATCACGCAGAGCTCCAAGGCCGTGTCGGAGACCCCCGCTGTGGCAACGGTGTCTGAGGACGAAGACGAAGACGAGGCCGAGCCCCCGCCGGTGGTCGCCCCCCGCCCCGAACACACCAAATCAGTAAGAAACACGCTGCTGTCTAAGAATGCTTAATCCTTAATTTAATCCTAATTTCACTTTTAAAATCTCCTCCCTGCTGCTGCAGGTACCTGCACATCAAGACTGTCAGTTTGTTAGTCTGCAAAAACACAAACCTTTAATGTGACTTTAAATTAGGTGAAAGACAGATTATGTAAAAAACATTAATTCAGTTTAAGTTTCATTTAATACAACCTAAAGGTCAAAAGTTCCAAAGTAAATAAATCACATACCTTTGATTGTGAGTTTTATTCAGTACGCTTATTTTTATTTTCCATTCCTTTGATTTTTCAGAGGGTCCAGTGGTGCCGGTGCATGGCAGCCCCGTGCCCCAGGGTACCTGTGGCTACAATGTAGCTTACAAAATGTGTGAATGTGTGTGTGAGTGGGTGAATGTCTGTAGTGTAGTGTAAAGCGCTTTGAGGGACTCGATGAATGAATGAATGAATGAATTTTATTGTCACTGTAGATTAAAGTGAGCTCCATCAGTGCACAAGTGCCGAAAATACAAACAATATAAACATAAAACTGGTGATACTGTATTTGCAAATGTACAATAAAGTTACACTGATGCAGTCTCTCACACACACACACACACACACACACACACACAC